AAGTTCAAATTTTCAATATATTTTCTCCGATACTTTGTTTATTCAACACTAAGCACACGAGCTAATAGATCTCTCACAAGCGCTAATTCTAACAAGAGGACTTTAAGAGGGCCCTTAATTTGCGTGAGTTTTCGGCATCGGCGTGGTAGATGTTGTTATGGACCTTTCTGATTTTTTTTGGTGCCACGCATTTACTTGCCAAGAAACCCTAACTGCAAAATGGCCGAAAGAATTTTGAGCCTGAATAATCGATTGCCAAACGCATTTGAGAGCGGTTCCGCTGTTTAGGGACCGCTTCATTTTTTGTTTGCTCTTGAAAATTCATCAGCTATCACTGAAATAGAGTTATATTGGCTCGCAATGTTCACTGTTACCCACTCCATTTTTTTCTTTTTTTTTGCAGTTCTTCATTGGTAGGGATTAGCGAGGGCTTGGCTACGCATCTAAATTGTCTTACGGTCATTCCTTTTTGTTTCTAGTTGTTCCGCCAATCCTTTCTGGTTCATGGGTTCAGCTGTTTCATCTTCTTTCTTCACTTTCTCATTGATTATCGCCTTTTGAGCACTTCTTGGAATTTGATGGGTAAATGCGGTGCTGTTGCTGAGTCGCTGACTCTGAACGCCACTAACGGGCTCATTTGTTCATAGTCGGCGGTCCGCATTGCAAAGGGGGGATTCCACAGTGCTTTGATACGTATTGATCGTCCATTCCAAACCTCGGACATGTACAACGATCGAAACGCATCTAATGCTGTACTGAGGTTACGATCAGAGGCCGATTGTGAATGCATACTAGAGGTGAAGGGAGGGGGCTTTCGTTGTGAGGAAAGAGAGTAGCTTATTCCGAGTTTTGTCATAGAATGGGAAATCAATTGATCAATTTGGAGGTATACGATTCCCTTGTGCGAGGATAAGGAGGTTGTGGTAGGGGTAAGTGAGAGTAAGGTGTAGAATTGGTAAACGGTTCTGGAGAGCGCTTTTGTATCTAAAACCCTTCATAAGATGATACTAGTTCGATGAATTCTTTATTATTACTATTAATTATTTGTATTTTTGTATGGTTATTATATCCTTTCTCTTGTTTTCTGTGTGTTCTGAATGTTTTCTTTTTTCAAGATTGCTGAAGCAAATGGATTTTTCCGGCGGTAAATTCTCCCTATACTTTATGGGCTACAAAAAAGCGGACGAAATTCCGCAGGGCGAAAAGGAGAGGAACCACTTTGCACTTTCTACATTAGCGACGATTGAGTTGACCCAGTGAGTTTTAACTCTAAGCTTTGTGATTACGCTGTATATTATTTAGAGCTAAAAATATTCACGGATACTGTAGTCTCATCTACTGATTGATGTTTTTTAGTAACTGGGGAACTGAAAACCAGCCTGAGTTCAGCTACCACAATGGCAACAAAGAGCCGAAAGGATTTGGTTGGTGCTTTTTCAGTCCATGGCTACGAATGTCATCCGAAGCATGTCTGAATTGTGGACTAATTATTGCGTTTAGGTCACATTGGGATTGTTGTGCCGGACGTTGAAAAAGCTTGTGAACGTTTTGAGAAAATGGGCGTGAAGTTTGTGAAGAAGCCTCAAGACGGAACAATGAAAGGTCTTGCGTTCATTCAGGATCCGGATGGGTACTGGATTGAGATATTTAACCCTAGAAATGTTTGCTGAGTATATACTGGTCTGTTTGTTCCTGTTTTCTTCGTTTGGTAGTTTTTGTTTGTGTAGAATAGAGTATTTTGTATTTCTAAAGTTGCTAATTTTTTGCTTTTCTAGATGAAAGTGATCAAATCAAATGTTGTGTCTGTTTTTTTTTTCAAAATTGAGAGAGGGGAGCTGGTGTGAGGGGGTTATTGCGCGGAACGCTCACCGTAGTTTGGTATTCCATAGCTACGTTTATCAATTGGTAATAGGGGCTATCCAGTAGGTAGCTAATTGTGACACTTTTTTGAAGTTCCTTTTTTCAACTTCGCTTGGTTTTACCATTCATTTCTCAGTTCCATTTCGTTTCTATGTGAAGGCATTGTCCCGTGCACTCTCCTCTTGGGTTCTTCATAAACCACGTTATTACCTTGCCCTTTACTTTGCATAGTCAGATTGGTGTATTTGTACCACTCCAAAGTGAATTCGGAGGTGGAAATTGGACCGTCAAAGTAAGAAACGAAACCACCAAAGACAGAAAGGGAAGCGTGATTCTTGGAAATAACCATATTTATGGGACAAACGGTTTGAAGGCGTTGTGCGCTCTGCGACAGAATACGTGACGAAGATCTTAGTAGACGGCCGAGATCCGAGACATAATACGTTGAGCGTTCATCCTGAGCATGGGGGTGGTTATCACAAGGATCTAACGCACTTTTAAGCATCTAGAACTACACGTCCTGAGCGCCAGCATTTATCGCATCGCATTGCAGAAATAGTATCACGAAAACGAAGTCTTACACTGCACGGATTCGTACGACTGCCACTACGGTACCATCTCGTGAAAAGTGTCGATGGGGGTGGGTCGTATTTATGGAAGTGGAAGGGATTGTAGCCGCTGGAGAGGGGGTCCTTTTTTCACGTTTTTTTTTATGATTTTGGCAAGCTTTGCGAGAAGAGCGTATATACGCCGAAAAAGAATTAGAGATCTGCTTTTATTCAGGTTAATTTTACCTTTCTCGCTGAAATTTGTTGGAGGGAAAAGTAGAGCGATTCGAGAGGGACTATCACAGGGTCAGTTTCTGGAGAACAGCCGTATGGTGTGAGGGACGCCGGGGATGGGGATCGGATTACAGCAGGGTCGGTCCTATCGTTGTTACTTTCTGAAAAATTTTTACGACCCCCCTCCCCAAGGTGGATTTGATACGACCCCCTTACCCTCGACCACCATATTCCTCTCTATAGTATTTAATTCTGATACCACTCAACCCACCAAACTCCGCCCACTTTTCCCCAAAAGAAAAATTTTTGGGGGGGGGGGAGCGTCGCAAGCGGGGAGGTATGATAGATACTCTGAAACAGTTAAATTTAACTCCACTAAATTTTACTGATTTCACTCTTACTGGTTACCATTGATACCTAGTCTTCCTAGTGATTCATTTCTTCTGATGGGGGGGGGGGGGGGGTGATGTATACACGCTTCTGAAAGCAGCGAATTTTTCTCCCGCGCTCCCAACTTAAACCTAGTAGACCCCCCCCTCTTACAAAACTCAACCAGAATAAGACCTCCCGTTTGTTCTAGTAAAGTAGGATTGGACCTGGATCAGGTGGGAGCGTTCGTAAATTTTTGGGGAAGAAAAGGCGTGGTTGACACCATGCACTGAACGCCTTATAACCCCCAAGGAAGCTGTTGACCCAATCAGGGGATCACGTCAGAGGCTTTCTGAAACGGTATCCGATACAATAGGTTAATCCCGAAAGTGAAGGTGGGGATTGACGATACCGCCATGGATTTACGGTTCACTCGTGTATTATGGACCCGGCGCCCATGGCAGGGCACGTTGGCGGCATGCATCACTGCTGACAAATGCCCTAGTTATACAAATTATGATGACTCACCATTGTGATTGCTTAGGAGTTTCTCGGTTTGAGAACAAAAAAGAAAGAAAAAAACAAAAAAGAGGAAAACAAAAACAAAAACAAAAACAGTTTAGTTTTACAAATAGAAAAGTTTTAATCTATATAAAGGCCTGTTAATTTTTATTTGAAGAAGATGTTCTATGGTTCTTCAGGTGACCTGCTAAATTTTAATGATTTATTGATTTGTTAGATGGTATTGCTCTTACCAAAGGAGGAAAAATCAATAAGGTCAATATTTCATCTCTTTCTTCCAATTCTAAGTTATCCGCCTTCTATGACTAGTCAACAACCTTTACCTCTACAACTCAGGAATGGCGTGGGTTCAAATAACCCTAGGGTTTGGATAATGTACACACATTACAACATACATCTATAGTGCCCGTGTCTGTCCATGCGTTGCAAAATTCGACAGTAGCTGAAAGTTGACTTGGAAAGCCTAGTCAAGTTAGAGGGGATGGGGCATGATCGGGATCTGTACTTAAGTGGGTGTGCGCAATGCGAAGATTTTGGAGACACGCATGCAGTGGGCGGGGTTTTCTCAAATGGGCGGAGCGTGCTTCAGAAACTCACAAGTCGACTCTTAAGCCAGCCTAGAGTTCGGAAATAATGGTAAGAATGAGCGCTGTCTAATGTATAACCGACTGAAATAGTGGGACGCGTCCAAAGTGGACACCTTTAGCCGGCAAGGTTTACTATAAAATTTCAACACATAGGTTCCCAGAGATCAGCACTATCTAAAGCTGTGTTCATATCTCGCGTCTCTGCGGTAATGCGATTCTATTGATAGGGAAGCATAGGTGTCGATCTAAAAATTCGGCAATGATGCTGAAAGTAGTGTCTATATATGGATCAGATCGACTCCACCCTATGATCTTTCGTCGACGCGGTACGTCGGCGACCCTTCAATCGATACGTATACATTCCTTTCAGCACAATCGCTAAATCGCCATCGCCTAAGTTGCGAGCTATGAACGGGCGTAGTGAGGTGTGGTCGCATGCTCATGGTAAAGGGGGCTTCACCGAGGTAAATTGGCTATTGAAATTTCTTGTAGAGCTCAAAGCAGTCTAGATTAAAGCTGGAGACCTCTCGCGGAGTAGCAAGTGAAGTTCTTCACTAATTCATCAGGAAATAAAACAAAGAAAACGTTCGAAGTAAAAAGATTATCATCAGGAATGAAGAACGAAGGCGAGCTACGTATTCTCTGTAACTTATCAAATTACTGCGGTGTTTAATACTCCAAAAAATGCCTGTTT